TACCTCATTCGAAAGCTTATTAAGAGAGAAAAAAAAGGTATATAGTCAATATGTTCGTAACGCATATTAGAGGAGTAACGAAGGACCTAAATATCGAAATACGCGTGAACATTAAGAAATAGCTTATTTTGAATAATGGAATGGACTGCTGCAACCCGTCAGTCCATAATCAAGGAAAAATTTAAACACCAAATTAAAGCTTATTGATAGAGGAATAAGCTGAGTATAAACGATATGTGCCGCAATGACCATTAGAGGGGTTACGGAGGACCTAAATGCCAAAATACGCGTGAAAATTAAGAAATAGCCAATTTTGAATAATGAAATGGATATTTTGAATAATGGAATGGACTGCTGCGACCCTTTAGCCCCTAATTATAGATATACCTTATACCTCATTCGAAAGCTTATTAAGAGAGAAACAAAAGGTATATAGTCAATATGTTCCGCAACGCATATTAGAGGAGTAACGAAGGACCTAAATATCGAAATACGCGTGAACATTAAGAAATAGCTTATTTTGAATAATGGAATGGACTGCTGCAACCCGTCAGTCCATAATCAAGGAAAAATTTATACACCAAATTAAAGCTTATTGATAGGGGAATAAGCTGAGTATAAACGATATGTGCCGCAATGACCATTAGAGGGGTTACGGAGGACCTAAATGCCAAAATACGCGTGAAAATTAAGAAATAGCCAATTTTGAATAATGAAATGGATATTTTGAATAATGGAATGGACTGCTCCGACCCTTTAGCCCCTAATTATAGATATACCTTATACCTCATTCGAAAGCTTATTAAGAGAGAAACAAAAGGTATATAGTCAATATGTTCCGCAACGCATATTAGAGGAGTAACGAAGGACCTAAATATCGAAATACGCGTGAACATTAAGAAATAGCTTATTTTGAATAATGGAATGGACTGCTGCAACCCGTCAGTCCATAATCAAGGAAAAAAATTATACACCAAATTAAAGCTTATTGATAGAGGAATAAGCTGAGTATAAACGATATGTGCCGCAATGACCATTAGAGGGTTTGCGGAGGATCTAAATGCCAAAATACGCGTGAAAACTAAGAAATAGCCAATTTTGAATAATTAAATGGATATTTTGAATAATGGAATGGACTGCTGCGACCCTTTAGCCCCTAATTATAGATATACTTTATACCTCATTCGAAAGCTTATTAAGAGAGAAACAAAAGGTATATAGTCAATATGTTCCGCAACGCATATAAGAGGAGTAACGAAGGACCTAAATATCGAAATACGCGTGAACATTAAGAAATAGCTTATTTTGAATAATGGAATGGACTGCTGCAACCCGTCAGTCCATAATCAAGGAAAAATTTATACACCAAATTAAAGCTTATTGATAGGGGAATAAGCTGAGTATAAACGATATGTGCCGCAATGACCATTAGAGGGGTTACGGAGGACCTAAATGCCAAAATACGCGTGAAATTTAAGAAATAGCCAATTTTGAATAATGAAATGGATATTTTGAATAATGGAATGGACTGCTGCGACCCTTTAGCCCCTAATTATAGATATACCTTATACCTCATTCGAAAGCTTATTAAGAGAGAAACAAAAGGTATATAGTCAATATGTTCCGCAACGCATATTAGAGGAGTAGCGAAGGACCTAAATATCGAAATACGCTTGAACATTAAGAAATAGCTTATTTTGAATAATGGAATGAACTGCTGCAACCCGTCAGTCCATAATCAAGGAAAAAATTTATACACCAAATTAAAGCTTATTGATAGAGGAATAAGCTGAGTATAAACGATATGTGCCGCAATGACCATTAGAGGGTTTGCGGAGGACCTAAATGCCAAAATACGCGTGAAAACTAAGAAATAGCCAATTTTGAATAATTAAATTGATATTTTGAATAATGGAATGGACTGCTGCGACCCTTTAGCCCCTAATTATAGATATACCTTATACCTCATTCGAAAGCTTATTAAGAGAGAAAAAAAAGGTATATAGTCAATATGTTCGTAACGCATATTAGAGGAGTAACGAAGGACCTAAATATCGAAATACGCGTGAACATTAAGAAATAGCTTATTTTGAATAATGGAATGGACTGCTGCAACCCGTCAGTCCATAATCAAGGAAAAATTTAAACACCAAATTAAAGCTTATTGATAGAGGAATAAGCTGAGTATAAACGATATGTGCCGCAATGACCATTAGAGGGGTTACGGAGGACCTAAATGCCAAAATACGCGTGAAAATTAAGAAATAGCCAATTTTGAATAATGAAATGGATATTTTGAATAATGGAATGGACTGCTGCGACCCTTTAGCCCCTAATTATAGATATACCTTATACCTCATTCGAAAGCTTATTAACACGGAGTAACATATTTCCCGTTTTCATTACAGAAGAACCTGTGTATGATTTGAAGCAATTAAATCTGCGACCATATGGTAATATAGTGTATAGAGTCGAAAATATCATAACTGTTAACCGAATTAAACGGACCGTCAAAAGCACGTAATTTATCCAAAACATCCAAATAGTTTATGACACTCCAAAAAAAAGTTAATTGCATTACTTTTATATGCTTTATTACAAAAAATAATAACAAGTTTTGTAATATAAGTAAGGGGACAAATTAACAGCCAACAAAGATTAGAAGTAGAACATTTACTAGAACCCGAGAGGAAACAAAATATGAACGATTTTTTGTGTGTGTGTAGTTTAGGATGTCAATACGTAGTAGGGACTTTCAAATTTCAGAGGAGTCCTCTAGCTATGCGGTGGTAGTGACATGGTTATTTACTATTTGACTATCAATGTATGGAGTGTACGGTCTTGAATATATTTGAATGAGTAATTTCATTCTTAAGGACTTCCGTGACGTATTTACGTCATACCACCACCACATCGTTGGCTGCTTTGTCGGCAGGTACGAACACAAAATGCTTTGCGATTACTTAAATTTTGTTTTTAGTCCTAAAATTGGAAGTATTACTTACTTTTGTTTATTTCTTAATTATTTTCAAAATGTGATATGTGGATATCTACAATATTTAGACATTTTAATATTGAAATATGAATCAAGTGACTTTTTGTTAGATTTCTCTTGTTTACACCAATTTTTACAATAGGATGAAAAAGAATCTTTAATGACCTGACGACACACTTTCCAATTTATTTTCGACGGAAAACAAAATTTTATCTCTTTTTTCCGAATGTTTATTACTCATAGGAGTATTAATTTCTATACTGACGTCTTATGTAACTGACGCATAATTAAAAATTAAACTTGTACTGGATTTTTGTATACGTATAAGAAATTATAGGTGGTTCTTAATTATCAAAATATGGAGGTATAATGTTTTGAACGGTAGAGTCATTAAAAATACTAGAAAAAATAATGTAAATGTATTTTATTCTAAGAAAATACCTTTTATGATCTTTGTTTATTCGAGGGAATAGTCTATGGTGACAAACAGCTGTAATGCTACGTGAAAACATGTATATTGGACTAAAACACGATTTTTTTCAAACTCGTTATAAATATTATGTAATTAACTGATTGGCATTTAAACCAGTTTGCACAATAATTGATGTCTACCATTGTTTTTAAATATATTATATATATATCCAACGCAATCATAGGTTTGAACGTCGTTTTCAATTTAGACTTGTTTATATTTTTTCGTTTGGGCTTGTATTATATTTTCCTTCGGGTTTATATGATCCGTTCATCCTATTTCGACTCTTTAAAATTCAAGAGTCTATCCTAAATTGAGGAAAAATGTTATGGCCTTCCAAATACTGTTTCGATCCCTAACATCACTGAAGAGACATTAATTGTCGAAATCCGGATATGGTGTACTAATTTTTGCACCTTTTGTTTGCGGTATACCATCTTTTCCGCAAGTTTATTGTTTTTTGTTTGGTATGAAATTAATAATTTCTAAAGATCTATTTTGTTACATCTTGTGATCCCGTTTATTTGGCAATCGCCAATGGCAGTCCGCAGGGTTTAAGAACATCAGTTGTTCGACCTGTTAGTCAAATGCGTTTTGTTAAAATATACCTTTTCACTTTTTTGGTCCTTTGGAAAATGTTGTTTGTGCAGTATTTAGACCCCTCTACCAAGAATTTTTTTTTGCATGCACACGTATAAAAATTGCGGTTTTTATCCAACGCAATCATAGGTTTGAACGACGTTTTCAATTTAGACTTATATCGACGTTCATAAAATTTGCTGTTTTTATCCAACGCAATCATAGGTTTGAACGTCATTTTCAATTTAGACTTATATACAAGTCTTAATTGAAAACGACGTTCAAACCTATGATTGCGTTGGATAAAAACGTCGTTTTCAATTTAGACTTGTAAGTCTAAATTGAAACGTTCAAACCTATGTTTGCGTTGGATAAAAACCGCAATTTTTATACGCGTGCATGTAAAACAAATTTCTTGGTAGAGGGGTCTAAATACCTATTGTTCTACCTGTTAGTCAAATGCGTTTTGTTAAAATATATTTTTTCACTTTTTTGGTCTTATGGAAAATGTTGTTTGTGCTGTATTTAGACCCCTCTGTCCGTGTATATTTGCGTCCATTCGTTTTTCATTTTGAAATATCAAAAACAAAAAACAAAAAACGAGAGTGTTTTCATTTTTCGTTTTTGATTTCTCAAAAACCAAAACGATAAACAAAAGTGTTTTAATTTTTCGTTTTTGATTTCTCTAAAACCAAAACGGAAAACGAAAGTGTTTTCATTTTTTGTTTTTGATTTCTCTAAAACCAAAATGAAAATCAAAAGTGTTTCCGGTTTTCGTTTTTGATTTCACTAAACAAGAATTTTGTATTTAATTTTAATTATTTCTCGTTTTATAATGTACAATGTTTAGTAAATAATGCCAATGTAAACACCCCGGTGTTCTTTCAAAATAATGTAGACAAAACAGACCGTCTGACTTATGAATTGAACTACGGTGATAAATGAACCAAAGCCTTTCAAATTACCTTGTTTATATCTTTAATAAAAAATAAATTATTATATTTAAATATTAAACGATTCACAAATTTAAATTGTACAATATAATATTATATAAAGATGGTACAAATAGATAGATTGATTACAACATCACATTAACAAGGTAGGTTATTTCTTTTTAAAACTGATAAGAAAACTAGACCTGTCGTTAAAGTATACATGCACAGCGGTTATCAGGTCAATTATTATTTAATCGGAGATAATGTCGACGGATGCAACAGACTTTATCAATCTGAACAATAAGGATGCGTGATCTTTACTTTTAAGTTTAGAAAGGTTGATCTAAGATGATTAGGATTGATGACCAAGGTCCATTTGCCAGTATATTGAAAAACAAATTTCACAATTCAATCCGGGATTAGCATTCAATCATTTTGCCATTCGGAGCCTATTAGGTATGAGTTTTGCTTATTTGTGAAAGCTATATGGTGACCTTAACTAGAGGGTGTGGATGGGGGTTTACGGAATAGAGAATAGTGGGTAAAAAATATGAATAATAGAGACAATGGACCAAGAAATACAAAAAAATAGAATAATGAGGTGTTAAAATATAAAGAGTATAATTGGCAAAAAGTATAAAGAAATAAAGAATAGAGAAAAATGGCCTAAAAACATTAAAGAATAGAGAAAAATGGCATAAAATATAAAAGAATACAGAAATGAAGAACCCCACATCCAGACCATCATACTAGTTGCCTAAACAAACGTTATTTTGTCTCTGGTAGATTGTTATTGGTTATCATACATTTCTTTTCATTTCTATGCCTATCAATTAAGACGTGAGCTTTCATAATTTGCCAGGTTATTACATTATAACTAAAGACTAAGCCGAACATCACCCTGGATTTTTTCTCAAGTAGACCTCAGCTACCCACCCTACCACACCATTACCGAAATGTTAATACAAAAATTTCTAAGGCAATACTTTTGTCCGCACTAGGTACAAAGGGAAGATGGGTAGCTGCGGTCTACAGTAGAAAAAATCCAGGGTGTTGTTCGGCTTAGTTTTTTTTTCTAAAGTAGGTCCAAAGTTGAGGTCGGATTCCCTACCCAACCGTTACCAAAAAGTTAATAAAACAGTTCTATGGCAATACTTTTGTCCGCACTAGGTGCAAAGTGAAGCTGGGTAGCTGAGGTCTACTGGAGAAAAAATCTAGGGTGTTGTTCGGCTTAGTTTTTTTTTAAAGTAGGTCCAAAGTTGGGGTCCGCGGACACCCAACCCCACCCTTACCGTAACCTTGATAAAAAAAAATTCTACGGCAATACTTTTGTCAGCACTAGGTACAAAGGGAAGCTTGGTAGCTGAGGTCTACAGTAGAAAAAATCCATGGTGTTGTTCGACTTAGTTTTTTTTCTAAAACAGGTCCAAAGTTGAGGTCGGATACCCTACCCAACCCTTACCGAAAAGTTAGTAAATAAAAATTCTATGGCAAAACTTTTGTCCGCACTAGGTGCAAACGTAAGCTAGAGATCTAGCGCCTACTTGATCAAAATTCCAAGTTTTGGTATAGCACGGATTATTTTTTTAAAGCTAATAAATAATTTCCTTGCCCACCATACTTTGAGTACAAAAAATAAACCCTTCGTCCAATCATAAGTAAGCGAAATCCACTGGTTCAGAAGTAGAATGTTATATAATTAATGAACAAGAAATGAAATTTTAAAATTCATTGAATAATGTCTTTGACTGGTTAATTATATTTAAAAGACTGATAATATAGTGGTTATATATTAATAATAACATTTGAAGTGCGTTTGAATCTTATGCAACATTTGGGTTTATATAAATATCTGAAAACTGGCTGCTAGCGAAGTAGCTGCTAACGAGTGGCTGCTTGCTTGAGCCTGGTCTCACAAACTCCGCATTTTCATTCACGTCTTCATATTACAGGTTGCAACACCTTGCCAAATTATTGGGTTCAAATAAACGATTAGCAAATTATGTTAATGTGCTTTTCCATGGGGTTTTATGCAGAACAATTACCGGAAATCTATGGTAGTTTACAAAATAAATGTCAAATTCGAAATCTTACTGAACAAAGTAGATACCCACATAAAAAAAAGGTTGAGGTATTGAAGGCCAAATAAGTTTTCATATTTCACATTCTTGAGGGCCTAATTGTAATCAGACGGTCATTGTAGAGTTTCAAGAAGTAAACAAATTAATTTAATACGAAGGCAAAAATTAATGTAAAGTTTCATTGGTGAAATTAAGACGACAATATAAATAATAATTATAATAACAACAACAAACAAAGGATTATCAAATGGTCACGACTTTTGTTTGGAGCAACATGAGCAAATCCCTTTAAAATCAATCAATCAATCAATCAATCAATCAATCAATCAATCAATCAATCAATCAATCAATCAATCAATCAATCAATCAATCAATCAATCAACCAATCAATCAACCAACCAATCAACAAATCAAACAATCAATCAATCAGTCAAACAAACAACCAATTAATCAACCAATCAATCAATCAATTAATCAATCAATTAATCAATCAATCAATAAAATTGAAAATGGAAATGAAGAATGAACAACCCAACCAAAGAGAAGAAAACAAACGAAGGCCATCAATGGGTCTTCAACACATCGAGAAAATCCCGCAACCAGAGGCGGGCTTCAGCTGGCCACTAAATAAAAATGTATACTAGTTCAGTGAAAATGGACGTCACACTAAACTAAAAATTAAAAAAAAAACATACAAGACTAACAAAGGCCAGAGGCTCCTGACTTGGGACAGGCGCAAAAATTATTTCATCGTTAAGCACTAAGGTACTAAAAATAGCTAAAGGTCTCGTAGCATTAAAAGCAGAATCTGGACATGTACAATCGATTGAAATATCCAAAGTCGCGGGTTGTAAAATAGTTTGTCAACAAGAGCTGTATACAAATTCGATGTGTTAACATCATCTATGAATCATAATTCGGGCCCAGATCTACAAAGATTATACAAATAATCTAGACAAGTGCATCGTTAATGAAATTTTCTCTAAACGTGAATCACCCAGAGAATACACAGACTAGATTGGAAAATCTGCATTTAACAAAATGCATTAAAAAAGTCAGACCAATAGCTGGAGGTATTACGATAAAATTTCGGAATGATAAGTAGTGAAAAAACATTGGTTTCACTGTATTCACCCAACAACTTTGTAGCACGGGCATACTACATGTATATAATGAATAACAGCAAACACACACAATAGGAACTAAAGTCCTGAAGTTGGGCAAGTAGTCTGTAAATGTAAAATATAATAGCAGTCCAAATAAATATTATTTTTATGATAGTGAGGTACAGAAGGCTCAGAGAGCCAGTTCAGAAACAAATACAATAGTGATCTTCAAAGATCTAGAAATACAGAAAAAGCTTAAACTGTGGCATGATCACTTTGGTCCATTAAATCCCAACCATGTATGATTACTCCATATTTCGAAAAATAAGGAATATATATTTAAGTAAAGGCCCATATATGTGGTAATAATCCTTGGACGCTGATATCGTTGCGTTTCACATACAAAAAAACAGATAGTGTATCAAAATTAGATGATTCTTCTGTCGATCGACCAAAATGTATTTCTGAAAGTATGACTGAAATCAAAATAGTGAGGCAAAGGGAGCACAGAGATCGATTATAAGTTACGATGGACACATTCTGATTATGTGTAAAGACTTTCCAAAATTATGGATTATTAAAAAGGAATATACATCGTCAAATTATTTTTCGAGTATTGTTGAATACATAGCTGCTTTGTCGGGGCTTTATGAATTTTAATAATAAAGTACAATTTATGTATGTATAAGAATACTATATGCGACCAGTGGAAACGGTTGCTAACAAATGAAATATTGTGACTCCAAAACAAACAATGATTTATTTAAGCAGAGAAATTTCAAGAGACCTACAAAAACACAGCTAACGAAATACCTTTAAAGATTTTACAACTGAAAAAGTACTCATTAATGGTTGTAAGTTTAAAATACTAGAGAACAGAACATAGTTGTCGTATAAAATTTACATCACGCTCGTTTCAATAAAATGAAGTTACAAAATTTATTGTTATATTTCTTAGTACATCGATGTATAAAGCCTTAGAAAGATTCCCCCAGGTATTGTTTGTTACCTTTTTTTATCGATTTAAGTGATTTGATAATAGGTAAACTATTGTTGCCTTAACGTTATAATTATAAAGACTACATAGATATATGATACAACAGTTCGCAGGTCTCGTGAGTTGTTTAGCAATAACCTTAAAAATATAGATCCTCACTTAAAATCTACAAACTAGAAGCCAATTGCATATATGTTTGGGACGAAAAATTAAAAAAGCAAAACGTTATTATTTTTTTGTTTTGATGATTGATGTGTAAAAGATGTAGAATGTACCAAGAGACAATACAAATTATAAATCAAATAAAACCAGTCAACACTATTGTCAAAAAGAAAAACAACAAAAAGGCAGTCAAAAACCATGAATACAAAACACTAAAGGTGTAGCAACACTAAGCTTACCACACAGAAGTTTAAGCATTCCCTGCAGTCAACGTATATCACATAATTGATCAGTTATTGCAAGAGGACGATTCGTTTTATTGATTTTTTTCAGCAAATTCACATTTTGATTTGATCGACATATTTGTACTTTATATAATTTTCATGATAAGAATATGGAATACAAATTATTTTAACGTCATGATATATATATTCATAAAAATACATAAACAAGAATACGGCCACGTTTAAAAGTGTCCTTAAAACGATGCTCATAGACAACATTAGCTATTGACAAGGTACAGGAATGAGTGTTGAATTGTCAATATTTTACATACAGGATACGCCCTCCCGCTCTCAAACACTCAGGAGACCGTCATGTTAGTTCAAAACAAATGTAAATTTAGGAATCAACGTCCGAATTTGAAATGACTTATAACCAGGAATGAATTTCCAAATAGATATGTCATTCCCAATCATACGGTACTGGAACTAGCTCATCGTTGACAGTCAAGCAGACCAACATTTATAAGCATTGATTGAAATGCAGAAAAGAATGTAACTCACAACGCAAATGCAAATGGACCTTATTCTTATATACACTATGAATGCAAATACACAGTGAAGACGGCAAAAAAGGGAAATAACCTAAGTGTTAAAAAGGGTCAAATCCTTCAACGGATTTCAGCTTTTGTAAAAAGGATTTCCTTTATTGTTTTACATGCACATTCAATATTTATGAAGTGTTATCTTCACAGAAAAAAAATATATATTTAAAATTCTTATCTAAGTTGATAGACTAGCATGCTCGTAAAATAGTTTGAAAAATATGAAGACTACTTGAAATTGTTTCATACTTAAAATCGATGCATGGAATGATATATTTCATTTGCATTGTCAATATGCAGCAAAAATAAATATTTTTTAAATATAAGTATAAAAGCTTTTAATGCAATTCTGTTGACAAATATGAAAAAAAAAAATATATTAACACTCGTAACAAGTATGGTTTCTAAAAAATCTTACTTGCTACAATCTTAATCACTATAAAACAAACAACTATGTTCACATAGAAAAACAGAATTGCATATAGACACTCTATAAACAAAGCACATAAACAAAAATGAAAGTCAAGAATACAAAAAAATGAGATATGAAATTAGAAAATATATATACATTTATAGTATTAGTTACATAGTGTGCTAATGGCCTTATACGATATGTATGGGGTCAGTAAATTCCATATGGAGTGAGACCATATATATCGTATTAGATCACTAGCACACTGTGTAAAAAAATTATCTTACCGACTATCTTAACATGTGGCATTTAGACTAGTGGCCTATCAAAGTGTTCAAGTCTTTAATATAAAGAACCTACTTCAATTTGTCTATATAAAACAAGTGAAACAATAACAACTTATTAGTTTTTAATGTGTTTTCTGCATTTATTTCAATCGTTCATCATCAATTTCTTCATCTGTTGTCCCGGCGAAACGTTTCAGATTTTTCTTCAACGCCGCTTTTTTATAAAGGGACATAACCGTGTATTAAAATAAAAAAACGCCTAATTACCCCATATTAAATATACACGATCTCCACGAGGTCGCTTTCAAACAATCATATTCCTAAAAAATGTATAGGAGGTAAGACAAATAGTTATACATCAAACTATCAATATATATTATGACAATATGGGGATCCATTATTTTTGATTATGAAATAACCTAAGATCGATGATCGGAAGGTTATTATGAGTCAACCTTTTTTGCCTTAAAGCTAATGATTCTTTATAACGTCCATGAAATACCGAAAAATAGCATTTTAATAGTTGAAAGGTATACATATATTACATGTTTTCGATATGAAGCATATGTATCCTCTGCGCACGTATTACGAAATGTCAAAACCAGAACTTTGTCATAACAAAAAATTTACTCTCAGGCATAGATATGGTGTTACAATGCTTAAAACAACAATTTGTCCGTAAGTCCAACGTATCATTTATTTTTTTTCTGAAAATGAGTCGATGAATTGGTTTTAATGCATATAGATTTTCTATAACACTTGTACATTTTCACGATGCCAAGATTATTACATTTTGTAAATCTTTGTGATGACAGCTTTGGTATTTTGTGTAAACCACTTGTAAAAACTGAAAATAACGGAAATGACTTGAAATTCTCATCCTGAGTGGTGCTTAACTGTATAAACAACAGAGAAGGAGTGAATTCTTAGACAAATAAAAGATTTGCATTTCCTTTTAAGAAACGGTAACTGGGGAATTCATCATAAAGATGTATATTGTATTGAACAAAAGGGAAGTTTTGGAACTATTGTGCGTTTTAATGTCATATCTTTGATTGTTTCTGTTTATTTTATTAAAAAAAATTATACTCGAGACGATGTGAGCCTGTCATATTACAAAGACACCAGCGTAAAACGTGTTTTCCAGTACAAAAATCATATAAGAAGTGTATTTCGGAAGAGTCATGATATAAAAGGTGCAAACAATATTTGTACGGAATAAAATTCGAACATTTTAAATTAACTACAAAACAAATCAATTTAAACAGAAATGCCTCATACAGATGTGATTGATAGCTGTAATTAATAAACAAATAGTAAATGTTAGTGAATGAATTCAAATGAGTACACTTTTTTTCTCAAATCCCACGCATTCCATGTTGTAACCACTTTCTTGCTTCAACTGAAAAACAAGCAAAAACATAATACTGAAATAATCCATAAGTTTATTTAGATGAATCCACATTAAGAAGTTTCAGGGAAATTGCTGCCATAAAAAACTATCTGCTTATAAATCGCCCTGTGTTATTATGATCAGTGCAAATATTTTAACAAGTTAAGTTTTCATATTAGGAAAGTATGTCAAAAACTGAGCAACTGTTAAATTATTTAAAGAGTATTGATCATAAGTAGAATCTATATTTGTCATACATTTATAATTTATAATTTATAATTTTTACCCATTTCTTGGTATATTAACAAATACAAAGAACATGCAAATGCAAATAACACACAGGATAGAGCATAACGATATGTATCTTGTAATTATGAGTATCTATTGTTCAAATCTAAAATATAAAATATTTTCCCGTGAAAAGAATTAGAACAAAAGATGTGGAACCTTTTAAAATAATGAATAGATTATCACAGTCTTATTCTATAATTAAGGGCCACATGGTATGGACAATACTTTTTTAAGTGCGCTGCTCTAATTTAAGTCGAAAACAAACTGACAATGTTGTTGCAAAAAAGGAAAAACCGACCAGAAGAAAAACAACAGTCTACAATACACAACATAGTAAATTAAGCATGTAAAGTAAGTAAATTTGATCATCACGGACTTCACCGAATAACGTGGCTGATCTTATGTAGTTCGGAAGGGTGAGTAAATCCTGCTCTATATGTGGCATCCGTCTTGTTACTCATGTAAGTGCAAACCTGGTGTAAAATCTAATTTGGTAGGTCACATTCTGGACAAACATGACGGGATTGTGTTTAGTGATTTTGAACATATCCGTCGTCATCTGTGGAACATATTGCATAACGGTCAAACAACTCGTGATGGTGACCGGTATATTTTCAAGGGTTTACTCTTTGTTTCATAGCTGTTTTGTAAGCAGAAACCCTCATTCAAAGAAATCATTTGTTATGAAACATTTAACACAATTATGACATGCCAGTAAAACAACAAAAGGTACACGAAAGAATATAATAAAAACCAACACAGCAAAACGACATGAATGGTCACATAAACACAAAGTGAAAAAAAAAATTTAATAATAAAGAATACTAAAAGCTAGTCGAAAATTTTCAACATGATGATAGACAATGGTGTCGGCTTTCACTTTATATTGGTTACTGAATTTCATAGAAGATTTTATACAGCAACGACATTATTATAAGTATGCTTAAAAGCAGCACAGGAATATATGAACGGGCTCCAAAATACCTAAAACAAACTATAAAGATAAACTAACAAAGCATCAAAGCATTTATCTATATGTAAATAAGAAGATGCGAAATGATTGTCATAAGTTGTATCTCTAACAAATGTACATTTCAAATAAAATTATATAGAATAAAAAAAAAAAAAAGAAAAAAAAAGAAAACTCTCCACAAGAGACCAAATGACGTAAAAGTTAACAACTATAGGTCACCGTACGCTATTCAACAATGAGCAAAACCAATACCGCATATCATCTATGAAAGGACACGGATGACAAATGTAAAACAATTCAAACGAGAAAACTAACGGGCTGTTTTATTTACAAAGCACTAAACGACAAGAAGCTCACGAGAGCCTGATATCGCTCAGCTGTAATTTCAGTTTCAGGCATTTGATTTATTTGTAGATCTTACTTTGCTGAACAATTTTGTCATTTACACTTTCTCTTTTTCTATAATAATATTAAAAATAATACATAACCCAAAAATGTAAAATTCCGAAAAATTAACTATTTCTGGACAGTAACCCAACAATAAGTTGCCATTGGTCTGAAGATTACTTGACAGGTAGATCTAAACCTGTTTAACACTTTCACCTATGTCAGTTTTTCTCTTACTGCTTTAGTTTTTGAGATGAAAGCCGAAAACTTCATTTGACCCCTTTGTTCTATTTTGAGAAACTGCCACCATGTTTTTAAATGGATCAAATCCCCGAATACAATCTATAAACTAGATACCCTAAGGAACATTCAATTAAAGTTTTGAAGTATTTGATCAAGTAGTTTCAGAGGAGAAGGTTTTTATAAAAGTAAATAGAACTTCACAAAAATTATAAAGGGCAACAACTCCTTAAGGGGTTAATTGACTGTTTTGATCATGTTGACTTATTTGTAGATCTTACTTAGCTGAACATTTATTGTCATTCTTTCTCTCTATCTATTATAATATTAAAGATAATATCCAAAAAAAGTAAAATTTAATAAAAATAAACTATTTCTAACAGTAACCCAACAATGGGTTGTTGAACTTGTCTGAAAATTTCATAACAGATAGATAATGACCCATTTATCACTTTAACTCCCTTTCACTTTTGCTCTAACTGCTGTAGTTTTTGATATATAAGCCAAAAACTGCTTGTGTCCCCTATGTTCTATGTTTAGCCATGGCGGCCATGTTTGTTGATGGATGAAAACTTCGGACACAATTTACAAACTAGATACCCTAAGGAACATTCAGTTAAAGTTTGGAAGTATTTGGCCAAGTAGTTTCAGAAAAGAAGATTTTTGAAAAAGGAACAGACTTGCTTGGATTCGAACGTCACTGATGAGTCTTTTGTAGATCTTACTTTGCTGAACATTTTTGCTGTTTACAGTTTAAATTTATCTTCAATAATATTCAAGATAATAACCAAAAACTGCAAAATTTCCTTAAAATTACCAATTTAGTGGCAGTAACCCAACAATTGGTTGTTCGGTTCGTCTGAAAATTTCAGTGCTGATAGATCTTGACCTATTAAACATTTTTTTTGCATTTGACCCATATGTTCTATTTTTAGCCATGGCGGCCATGTTTATCGATCGATCAAAGCTTCGGATACAATTTATTAACTAAATACCCTAAGAAACATTCAGTCAAAAGTTTGAAGGTATTTGGCACTGTAGTTTCAGAGGAGAAAATTCCTGAAATAGTTCAAGACGACGACGACGACGGACGACGACAGATAACGACGACGACAGACAACGGACGACGACGGACGCCAAGTAATGGCATAAGCTCACATGGGGCCTTTCGGGCCCGATGAGCTAAAAAACAAATATGATAAACAGCAACTAACGACAATCATTGAATTGGAACGCTCATACAAAATGTGGCGGGGTTAAACATGTTTGCTGGTGCCAAACATCCCCCTGGACAGTGGTGTAACTGTACAACATAAGAATAAATATGAATCAGTTGAAAAAAGCTTAACTCATCAGATCGATACTGCATGCTACATATCAGAGAATTAATATTTATTCCAAAATATAAGAGTTGTATTGATTTAACAACATCTGTATAAATGAAACGAACAATTCTGTCATGTCATACTTGATGCTCATTTTAAATAGGTATGCATTATTTTTGTTAATGTCTTCACACAGAGCAAAAGCGAGCTGTAAAATGTTCACAGCAAAATGCCAACGATTTTAAACTTAGCATAAAGCATGACAAGAAAAACTATTTCGATTCTACAAAAAATTATATGTCATATCGGAACTATAAGACAAATTCGAAAGGCAACCATTTAGATTTGAGGCTGATATAAGGTCTGGAAAATTAATCGATTCACAAAAGTGTACAAATACATGTAAACTTACTTTTTCTAAATATTTTTTTTTATGTTCAAATGAGGAATACCAACAAATTGTCAGTTTTAACCTTTATGGTTGTTTTGGATGATACTTAGGTTGCAGTCTCGCACATTCAGCCTATGTATTATTAAAAAATATAGCTTTGCTTTCAAAGCGAAAGGAAAGTCTCCTATTTAACAGTCAGTCTACGTACATGTAGCAAAGATGTCAGATTTGAAGGAACTCTCCCGAATCTTTCAGCTTAAAAAACAGTATTACCAAAAAAACTGATTGTGACCATTTTTCTTTCAAATACCGATATCCCAGCTGTTTAGAAGTAATGGAAATATTGCGTTCATTAAAATCAGAAACTTCACTGCATACACGTGCACATCTAACCAACTGAGAAATATATACTCCACTTGAAGTTCTAAACGAACATTACCATCATGGAAAGGAAAATTAATTTAAAGACTGGAAAAGTCGTCCATTTAACATTAATGTTTGTTAGGATATTAACATGTGCAATTCTAATAGTAAGGTCATTATTTATGTTGCGATATTTAGTAATAAGGAGTTAAGCTTGATACATTTCATTGTGAATTTAGTAAAAACCAGGATTTTATAAACAAATTATATGATCTTTATATCTGTCTGGTTAGTGTATAAATCTGCAACATGAATGACAGAAAAGATTCCAATCGGAATACACATAATTTTGGTGTTCATTAGAAGTTTCAATTATATGTTGTTGAAGCATATTCATATACGATCTTATCTTCACTATAATCTGTAGGTTTGAACAAACTCGAATGTTTTATCGAGTTTTCGGGTATTTCAACATAGGACTAACGTCAAATGATGACAATAGTGGATCTGCCCTGTCTATAAATGCAAATACAAAACGCGTTCATAGAGACGTAACGTTAGATATTGCAACTACCACGAAAAATAGCGCTAAGTAAATCTTTGACGGGAAATTTTTCTTAGAAATGCAGAAATGAAAATTAAAAATAAAGATTGTTTCACAAAATTCCACAGTATGATAGAGAAAGAATAAAGAATATAGTACATTTAGGTATCGGAAAACACAGATTATCACAAAAAATGTTTACTTAACGTTGTGCCATGTAACAAACTCGAAACATAAAACTCGTTTTTTTTCGATAAAATACGCCAAATTTTCACGCAACTCTTCGAACTTTTGACGCCGTCACAATTAAGCGTAATATGCCGAGACTTTAAAAACCGCATTCACAAACTCCTCCCTTCGCTTACTGTAAATGTCCTGCTTTCAACAAAATGAAATAATTCACATCATACAAAGGATGCACACCTATGAGACCATCAAAAACCAGTATCATAAGTACATGTATTGTCTCTTTTACCAGCGCTAGATTAAAATCATATTCAATGTGGTTTGAACATATACTGCAAAAATATTCCTCTAACACCACAAAATTACTGACATTAAAATCTAATATCCTATGTAAATTATAAAATGTTGACGAAGGCTTTTTTATAGCACAGGTACAGTAGTATTTACATAAGAGAAGAGAAAAAAGAAATAAACAAAAGTGAAAATCGTGGGCTAAAAACAAGGAACTTTACATCGAATCAAGGCAAGCCGAAAAACATAATGAAAAAACAGGAACAAAAGAATCCGCGAGGAAAAGAGACGAACGAGAACAGGAAAAACAAAGGAATATTAAGGAAAAGGAAAGAAAAGGGAAAGGAAGAAACTGTATCGCGATAAATTAAAATAGTCATAAGAAACAAATTTAGAATTTAATAACAGAAATACACCATTCAAAAAATCGCTACCGAAAACACCTATTCAAGCGCAGAAATCCCCAACGGTTAATATTTTGATAAATATGAATGTTATTACGAGTCCCGAAGATAAAACAGTTGATTCCACGAATTCTAATATCATAAAAAATATTCAAGAAATAATTTCAACAACAAAAAAGCAACGTTCTAAAACAGCAACAACAGTTATGGATATTCTTACTACATGCTAAACACGTAAGTAGAAAAGTAGGGCTAAACAACAAAAGGTTGAGTCAAGGAAGGCAACATCGAGCGTCAGTTTTAAAATTGGACAATGCTTCGTGGAGTTTTACAAAACATAAAACTAGATCAGATGCTTTAAATGATATGTATAAAAAGCTTGTATTTGATTTTTAGACCTCTTTTGGTGTGTATAGGCCTACGGGTAACAAAAGTGACATGAAAAGAATGAGAACTGGTCCTCAAAAATTTGTTTCACATGCAGTTTATGTATATTTCGATTTCAAGGAAAAAAATCCAACTAATAAAAATTTCCATTGAACATTTGTAAAACTTAAACCGTTTTTCGTGCAATCTATTCGTCCTAAAGATAAACAAAACTGTTGCTGTAGGTACCATATCGAAATTCACCGTATTTTCAAAAGTTGCAAGGACTTCAGGCGCGAAATACTTAAAAACAATCCTGCACTTCAAAGAGAAATTAAAATTTATGAAAATCTTAACGAGCTTGTCAACGAAACTGTATGTAAAAACTCGGAAAATGTGTATCAACTTAAATGTTTACAAAGAAATTATGACAATTGTGGTGTTCATAATTTCAAATTAACGGAAGAAGACAAAACTGATAATTTAAACATGTCTACTGTACAGTGGGAACGGTATGAATACGTAGATTCAAAACGCGGATCTAAATCTATTTGAAGCTTATGCTCGTAAAGAAGTTAACTAAACCATTTGAAATGTTCTCTTTTTTAATACAAATTGTCCGTACTTTCCGTACCACCAATTTAGCGCTTCTAGGCAATCAAAACAGTTGCGATCCTTATTAGATAACTTACCTCATTATCATTGTTTAACAGTAAATGATTACTCAGAGAGCTACAAATGCTTGGATAAGACTGAAATCCAAACTGGATATTTAAAAAAAATTGAAGTATCTATTCATGTGACTCTTTTATACCGACACGCGGTCCTTGAAGTAGATGGTATCGAAAGTTCAGTAGATAACCCTGTTATTATTAAACATGTTAAAGAGGAATTTTTCGTTATAAGTGAGGATGACAAACGCAACCAGTACATTGCACATTATGTTCAAAAATCAGTTTTCAGAATATTTACATAAAATCAGCTACAATCGAAAAGTTATGCACGAAATTTATGGTGGTTGTGGAACGCAATACAAGTGCCGTCATTGTTTTCGTCTTTTAGCAACGACTTTTTCAGATTAAGAATATGATTTTATCATAAGAAATTTTTTTGAAACTGCGCATGCAAAAGTGCACAAGACGCGGCTGGCGGATATATAACGAGAGAGGCGGATTTGTCCGTAATCCGTGGTCGGTCATCCATTTAGAACGGAAAAGATTTATTCAACCTTTCTAACAATAATCTACAGAAACCAAAATCAACCGGCTGCAAGCGCAGAATTTTTAGATAAGTAAAAACCATCCCCCGAAATACAACACAACATTTCAAAAGCATTGCCAATATTCCAAAAATTCATTGTGTTAGAACGACTAATAACTCCGAATCGATGGTGACTGATTTGTCCTGTTATACGTGTGATCAATGTGTGTCAGCTAACTATGAATTATGTCGCAACTTTCGACTCCGCGGAAATTCTCGGGCAGTTAAAATTGTACGCGAACATGCAACATAAAACCATGCATTTGAAAATAACAACAGTGGAGATTCTTAACTAGATTTAATTAGTAATGGCACAATCAAAGCCGTTGTCGCGAATGATTATGATTTCGATTTTCATTTAATAAAAACTTAAGATGAGCCAGAAATATTACCATCAGCCGTCACAGACGACTGGGGTATTGCCTTTCCTAGAGGCGCTAATGTTTTGAAAGGGTATTACTATGATATTGTCAGTAAGTGGAATTGTTCGTACAAACTTGTTCCAAAAAGACTTGCAATAAACTATTCCGTATCTGCCAGATATATTTTAACCAAATCCGAAATTAAAAATCTGAAAACAGTATCAAGCTAAACTAAGAACATATGAACTTTTTAGCAGCACTAGACGATATTTAATTAAATCATTTATCAAATCGCTAAATTAAGTTTTTTTTTATATTTTCAAACTATACTATTAGTGAAATTAAACACAATTTTTTTTGGTTTGTCCTTGTCTGATTACAAATTATTATTGAAATGCATGACCAGTTGTGTATAAAGGAGCAAATACTGATGAGGCAATACCAAACAGTATTCTTTCTGTCTTTGTATTCAGTACCACGGAAATATTTTAAAAGATTAAAAGTATAAAAATTACAGTTCTTTTTTATCCCCTTTTAATACAAAAAAAGACTGCCTGTTCGTTTAGGAATAAGAATAAAAAATCGTATTGGATTGGTCTCACACAGCATTTATACTTTTGTGTAATACTTTGCATTTACCCAACAAGGAAAATAGGAAAATGGTGTGCGTTTTCGAAATGACGTTCCAATCTAACGTCATTTTTCTGTTACACTTAATATTAGCAATATATGACGTTGCGTCAGAGCATATTAGTTGTTCTAAGTTGTAGATATCGTTTTAGTACACTAATTTGGATAAAGTTGTTTTCTAACTGTTCCATATGACTATTAACAGTATTCACGCATTTTCTATAAAAAGAATTCAATAATTTTTTATTAGCTATTTCTCTTGAGGAAAAGGAGTCGCTCATGAGGAAACGACGTTCGTTTGCGAATTTTACGATTTTTTCATGCTTGAGATATGCAAAATACAATATTTATATATAAAATCATCACTCACACACAAAAAGGTCTAATAATCCAAAAGAATAAATTATTTCTGAAAACATAAAAGCAATTGTGAGAGCACTGCTTTAACGTTGATTTTGTTTTTTGTAAATGTCATTAGAATACACAACATTTGTAATGTAATATATATAAATATTTAAAACTTTTGTTATTTTCAAAACGTACCTTTCTGCAGTTAACTGTATATGTTCTTTGGTCTTGTTGTCTCCCATTTCCTGGAAAAATATTTACAAAGCAGTTTGATACCTCTCACAAGCACTTTACGAAGCATACTGACTTAACTTTGATTTTTGGATAATGTCTGTCCAAAATAAACAAGAGAATAAAATACAGATGCTAAATTGACATGAATTTATGTGATCATTGTTAAGGATTCTCTTTTTTAATGTTACAAATACTCACATTACAAATTTGAAATTAAAATAACGATTTAAACTCACAATAAAAAAGTGTTTATGCTAGATTATTCAATGTTGTTTTTTATTTCCACCCCACGGCTAAAAATCAGACGAATTTGTTTTCACATGCATATTTAGAAAAGAATATTTTTAAAACATATTTATTACACCAGACTTTTCAATTCCGTTGCTGGCTGAAAAGATTACAAATGCATATTGATACATAATCTCTTGTACGATATGTATGTAGCAATGTTTCTAGCAGTAAAAACAGGTGTAACCCTTTATGTTTTTTGGAAAATGCCTGTTCCAAGTTAGAAATATAACAGGTATTTCAAAGTTGTTCCTTCGGTTTATATATTCAAGCGTTTGATTTTTGTCGGTTTTTATGGATAAAGGGAACAGTAGTATACCGGTGTTCAAAATTCATAAATCGATAGAGAGAAAACAAATCCGGGTTACAAACTAAAACCGAGGGAAACACATCAACTATAACATGTATAAGAGGAAAACAAAGGAACAACAAGAACACTGAAGTGCAACAAAAACAAAAGACAACATACATAGAAACGAACTATTTGATAACAACTGCATTTTCCTGACTTGGTACAGGACATTTTAAAAAATTTGGGTTAAACCTGGTTTTATGGCTAGCCAAAACTCCCGCTTATATGACAATGTTAAAAAGCATCGCTAAAATGACAACACTACGTGACAGAAATACAGCACAAACACACACAAGAACACTAGACACAGAGAAACGCACAAACAAATAATATAATAGTCGACACAACATGCAAATGGCAGAACAACAACGAACATCTTCCATCAACGACAGACACCACACGACATCATAAACAATGACGTACTTACGTGACGAACATGCGATAATGATTTTTCGGTTTGTATGGGCTTGCCCTTTCTAATTTACTTTAGAGTTTGGTCATTTTTATAACAAATATTCACATTACAAATTTAACAGGTCAGGAATAACCATTAATTGGTGGATTATACCTAAATTCAGATATAATCCACCATTCGACATCTAATTAGTTACACAAATTGAGGTATAATGCCATTTTTATCCAAAATTGCAAAAATATACTCCAATATCTCTTAAAAACAATTTTGGATAAAAATGTCATGTCTCCAATGAGTACTCATCAAAGCTTAAGATGGTATATGCAAAAAGCTGCTCGAATATCTCATTAAACAATTTTGTGAATAAAAACTGCATTATACCTAAATTGGTCTATCTCACTATATGTCAAATGGTAGATTTTACTGTAATTGAAGTATAATCCACCAACTAATGGTTATTCCTGACCTGTTTAAACATGTTAAAGTTATAATGTTGACTTCAATGTCACTACATATCCCATTTCTTATTATAAATAAAAATAAAAATAAAAATCTAAAAATTAAATCAGCAACGTTTAGAGTATTACGTATCAATGCTGATTTTTGTTTTATCCATAATTACAGCGCACGGCAAAGAAGGTTAGCCAAAATGTATTGCTCGTGAATATTAAGAAAAGATTATGCGTAAAACATACGTGTATCGTTTGTTTGTTGACTTCCATTGTCGGCTGATCTTCTTCTTTCTGAGTAAAGGATTAAAATGCATATTGATAAATTTTGGAAACCAATTATAACTATTTGTATGACATGTAGTAACTTTTTTATTTATTCAACCATGATCTTCTACATATGTCTGTACCAAATCAAGAATATGACTGTAATTGAATTTTTCCTTGGCATTCTTTTGTTCTGTTATTACATTTTATTTCTTAAAAGTTTTAACAGATTCTCTGTCCGAAATAAACAAACAAAATTAAAAGACATGAATTTGTCTGATATTAACAAAATAACTTATCTTAGAATTCAAATATCGAAAAATATTCAACTAGTGACAGAACAACATATTGATAAACGAATACATGAAAGTGTTATGGTTATTCGGTCATGAGTTTAATAATGTTATCGACTTACGATATACAATACATGAAACCATAACAAAACAAACGATACTTAATGTAATGCTACGTTAAAGAATTTTAAAAATAAGGTCGGTGCATAAAATCCAAACGTTGTTGGGAAAAAAATCGAATAAGAATTTCCGGACTTTATTCAGAAATATTTCATTGTCTTTTAAAAGTCAAAAGAATAAAAAAAGAGAGAAGATACAAAGAATGTCACAAAAACAATACAAACAGACAATCCCAGACTGAAAGTTGATCCGAAGCGCTTTTCTAGATTTACCTTTATCAAGAACGCGCAAACCTAAATATTTAAAAACCAGTTATATATAAATGAACTCTTCATAGATACCAGGTTAATATTTTATACGCCAGAAGCGTGTTTTGTCTACGAAAGACTCATCAGTGACGCTCGAATCAAAAAAGTAAAAAAAAGGCTTAATAAAGTACGAAGTTGAAGAGCATTGAGGAGCCGAAATTCCGAAAGGTGTCAAATACAGCTAGGGTAACCTATTCCTGACGTAGAACATCCGTAGTATTAGATACATTCATAGCTTATAAACAGTTATTGATTCCTTAATATGACCATATCAATGATAATTCATGTCAACACAGAAATGCTGACTACTGGGCTGGTGATACCCTTGGGGAGAAACCTCCACCAGCAGTGGAATTGAACTAGTGCTTGTAATAAACTCAACAAAGATACCAGCCTTTTAATTGTTTTATGGTCAGACGCTTTTACCACTCATCATAGATAACATGATTAAAATTGTATACGCCAGACGCGCGTTTCGTCCACAAAAAACTCATCAGTGACGCTCGAATCAAAAAAGTAAAAAAAAGGCCAAATAAAGTACGAAGTTGAAGAGCATTGAGGACCTAAAATTCAAAAATAGGAAGAAACGTTCAGAGCTATATGACCAAAAGAACTAATAAGAACATCCAATTAATCAAAGGTCAAATTTGCCTAAAGGAAGTTCGAACCGTAGTTGGAAATAATTAAATCAAGGGTAAATTTTAAGAAAGTACATTACAATGTATAAATCGTATCCTTCCTGAACAGTCATAAGTCACGCTTCTTGCTCGTTAAGAACCTTTAGAACAACTGTTTGAGGGGTCCATATGTGGCCTGTTGCAAGTCAAAATATCAGTCCCTATCCAATATACCCTCATATTGTAGTGGCAGACATAATTTCCCCGACCTTCATCCAGGACGGTCTCTATAACAGGACCTATACTACATAATGTATTTATTGTTTAGATGTTCTCGTCCTGAACATGCATTAAATATTTATCACTAAACGTTCATCAAACATCATTCAACCAATCAATCCTCTGTTATAGTTTTCTGTCAAAATTTGAGGTTAGCATCCATGCTTCTTTATTCTATTGTCTACGTTACCAAATGTGACTGAATTGAACTTTGTTACTGTAACTGAAGCGAACATGTCGTTCCTAACACATTCATCAACACATTCTACACTATATCGAAAGACTTGGAGCTACTTCACTTGCAAGGATACACATTAAACCAAATCTGCACAGTATCTCCAAGTGGTGGTGTTTACCGAGCCCGGAAATGAAAAAAAAGAACCAGGTAAACTTAGCGATCCTTTAAATAAATTTTTTCTAAATGTTATCTATTCAACACTGAAATTAGATCTTTAAATATTGTTTTTATTGGATTTAATATTGATTTTGTTATCAGTAAATTCAAACCATACTAAATATTATTTTATAAACATATACACTTTCACTGTTCTACAATCTGTCGATGATTTAACCCCTTTTCGACTGATTTTCATTGTTTGATCTGATGTTATGCTGTTACACCACTGTCCCATGTTAGGTTTTGTCGCCAGCAAACATGTTTAACCCCGCCACTGTCACAAGTCAGGAGCCTTTAATACAGTGATTGTCGTTTGTTACTGTATATCAGTTTTGTTTATCGTTTATCGTTTTGTAACCCGGTTTTATGGCTAGCCAAACCTCCCGCTTATATGACAATGTTAAAAAACATCGCTAAAATGACAACACTACGTGACAGAAATACAGCACAAACACACACCAGAACACTCATCACAGAGAAACGCACAAACAAATAATTTAATAGTCGACACAACATGCAAATGACAGAACAACAACGAACATCTTCCATCAACGACAGACACCACAGGACATCACAAACAATGACGTACTTACGTGACGAACATGCAATAATGATTTTTCGGTTTGTATGGGCTTGCCCTTTCTAATTTACTTTAGAGTTCGGTCATTTTTATAACAAATATTCACATTACAAATTTAACAGGTCAGGAATAACCATTAATTGGTGGATTATACCTCAATTCAGATATAATCCACCATTTGACATCTAATTAGTTACACAAATTGAGGTATAATGCCATTGTTATCCAAAATTGCAAAAATATACTCCAATATCTCTTAAAAACAATTTTAAATAAAAATTTCATGTCTCCAATGAGTACTCATCAAAGCTTAAGATGGTATATGCAAAAAGCTGCTCGAATATCTCATTACACAATTTTGTGAATAAAAACTGCATTATACCTAAATTGGTCTATCTCACTATATGTCTAATGGTGGATTATACTTGAATTGAAGTATAATCCACCAACTAATGGTTATTCCTGACCTGTTTAAAGTTATAATGTTGACTTCAATGTCACTACATATCCCATTTCTTATTATAAATAAAAATAAAAATAAAAATCTAAAAATTAAATCAGCAACGTTTAGAGTATTACGTATCAATGCTGATTTTTGTTTAATCCATAATAACAGCGCACGGCAAAGAAGGTTAGCCAAAATGTATTGCTCGTGAATATTAAGAAAAGATTATGCGTAAAACATACGTGTATCGTTTGTTTGTTGACTTCCATTGTCGGCTGCTCTTTTTCTTTCTGAGTAAAGGATTAAAATGCATATTGATAAATTTTGGAAACCAATTATAACTATTTGTATGACATGTAGTAATTTTTTTATTTATTCAACCATGATCTTCTACATATGTCTGTACCAAATCAAGAATATGACTGTAATTGAATTTTTCCTTGGCATTCTTTTGTTTTGTTATTACATTTTATTTCTTAAAAGTTTTAACAGATTCTCTGTCGGAAATAAACAAACAAAATTAAAAGACATGAATTTGTCTGATATTAACAAAATAACTTATCTTTGAATTCAAATATCGAAAAGTATTCAACTAGTGACAGAACAACATATTGATAAACGAATACATGAAAGTGTTATCATGGTTATTCGGTCATGAGTTTAATAATGTTATCGACTTACGATATAAAATACATGAAACCATAGTAAAACAAACGATACTTAATATTATGCTACGTTAAAGAATGTTAAAAATAAGGTCGGTGCATAAAATCCAAACGTTGTTGGGAAAAAAATCGAATAAGAATTTCCGGACTTTATTCAGAAATATTTCATTGTCTTTTAAAAGTCAAAAGAATAAAAAAAGAGAGAAGATACAAAGAATGTCACAAAAACAATACAAACAGACAACCCCAGACTGAAAATTGATCCGAAGCGCTTTTCTAGATTTACCTTTATCAAGAACGCGAAAACCTAAATATTTAAAAACCAGTTATATATAAATGAACTCTTCATAGATACCAGGTTAATATTTTATACTCCAGAAGCGCGTTTTGTCTACGAAAGACTCATCAGTGACGCTCGAATCAAATAAGTAAAAAAAAAAGGCTTATAAAGTATGAAGTTGAAGAGCATTGAGGAGCCGAAATTCCGAAAGGTGTCAAATACAGCTACGGTAACCTATTCCTGGCGTAGAAAAACCGTAGTATTAGATAAATTCATAGCTTATAAACAGTTATTGATTCCTTAATATGACCATATCAATGATAATTCATGTCAACACAGAAATGCTGACTACTGGGCTGGTGATACCCTTGGGGAGAAACCTCCAACAGCAGTGGCATTGAACCAGTGCTTGTAAATAAACTCAACAAAGATACCAGCATTTTAATTGTTTTATGGTCAGACGCTTTTACCACTCATCAAAGATAACATGATTAAAATTGTATACGCCAGACGCGCGTTTCGTCCACAAAAAACTCATCAGTGACGCTCGAATCAAAAAAGTAAATAAAAGGCCAAATAAAGTACGAAGTTGAAGAGCATTGAGGACCTAAAATTCAAAAATAGGAAGAAACGTTCAGAGCTATATGACCAAAAGAACTAATAAAAACATCCAATTAATCAAAGGTCAAATTTGCCTAAAGGAAGTTCGAACCGTAGTTCGAAATAATTAAATCAAGGGTAAATTTTAAAAAAGTACGTTACAATATATAAATCGTATCTTTCCTGAACAGTCATAAGTCACGCTTCTTGCTCGTTAAGAACCCTTACAACAACTGTTTGAGGGGTCCATATGTGGCCTGTTGCAAGTCAAAATATCAGTCCCTATCCAATATACCCTCATATTGTAGTGGCAGACATAATTTCCCCGACCTTCATCCAGGACGGTCTCTATAACAGGACCTATACTACATAATGTTTTTTATTGTTTAGATGTTCTCGTCCTGAACATGCATTAAATATTCGTCACTAAACGTTCATCAAACAACATTCAACCAATCAATCCTCTGTTATAGTTTTCTGTCAAAATTTGAGGTTAACATCCATGCTTCTTTATTCTATTGTCTACGTTACCAAATGTGACTGAATTGAACTTTGTTACTGTAACTGAAGCAAACATGTCGTTCCTAACACATTCATCAACACATTCTACACTATATCGAAAGACTTGGAGCTACTTTACTTGCAAGGATACACATTAAACCAAATCTGCACAGTAACTCCAGGTGGTGGTGTTTACCGAGCCCGGAAATTAAAAAAAGATAGGTTTTGTCGCCAGCAAACATGTTTAACCCCGCCACTGTCACAAGTCAGGAGCCTTTAATACAGTGATTGTTGTTTGTTACTGTATATCAGTTTTGTTTATCGTTTAACGTTTTGTACATATATCAGGCCGTTAGTTTTCTCGTTTGGATTGTTTTACGTTTGTCATTTCGGGCCTGTTATAGCTGACTATGCGGTATGGGTTGTGTTCGTTGTTGAAGGCCGAACAGTGATTTAAAGTTGTTAACTTCAATATCATTTAGTCTTGGATGGAGAGTTGTCTCATCGGCAATCATACCACATAATCATTTATATATTTAGATTGACACATTAACTCAGCAGTATCTTTCATCAAACTTGGCCAAAAGCATGTTTAGAGATGACAATGGAATCTATCCATTCATTGTAGCAACGACCTGGTCCTCCTTTATGACTACCAACACATGTAAGTTTACACCAGATATCTACTTGTTACTTATTTGGTCTTGTAAAAACATTTAGAAGACCCAAGTGTACCTCGTGATTTTGGTGAGCTCGTGAAGCCCAATTTTGTTTGCTTGGTTTTTATGCTGTTTATAACCTCTCATTGTATCATGAGATGCAAACCAACACCTAAAATGTCGTCTCCTTTGCAACTTTGGTTGGCCAATTACTATTAAAAACAAAACTTTTACGACTTGTCTAAAGATATCAAACATATGTCATTGCAAATAAACTTCCAATGTTTCCAATGTTGGTACTATATACAAGAAGAATGCGTTCTTGAGGAAAATTTTATAATATATCTAATATCTATGGTTATATCTTCCTCATGCCAAGTTCAAATGAATTTCGTTAGTCTTGTTTTAGTTCCTTTGTCTCATTTAGTTACTTTCATTTGGTAGTATTTATACCACCTTGATTTTCAAAAGTTAGGTTTTAGCATTCATTCTAGGTGAAAGTGAATGTAAAAAGTGCCTGGGACGCACAATTTATAAAGTGTTACTTGTATTTTCTAGCACTGATCAATGCTGGTGGTTTGATGGACTAACTCTTGTTCGAGGGCATCATCAGCTCAGTAGTGAGTTCTTCGGTACTGACATGATCTATGTCATACTTTTCCAAACTACCCGTTCATTAATGATGAATTGTATTTAGAAACAAAGGTTCCATCTATCTCAGTCAAAATTGACCTACAGCTCTTAATCTTTTTATGTATTTATACCAACCTGATTTTAAGATGTTTATGTTTGGATGATTTTTGTTGAAGGTATTTCCAGAAAAACGCTTCTGACGCACGACATGTAAATAGCTTTTTTTTTTTATTTTAAACAACATGCCCGTACCAAATCATACCTCTGTCAGTTCTGAAGCGGTGAAGAGAAAATTGTGTCGGACATTGTTATATGATTGATAGTCATTGTTAAACTTTATTGTAACGACCGAATAATAAACATTCATTTGATGGGATGTAGTTCACGTCACCATTTGTTATTTTGTCGGCGTATCAATAATTCAGCTGAAAGGAAGTGTCATTTGTATATAATATGACGAGTGCTCTACATTGGAAAACCAAAGACAAATTGTAAAAAAGGAAAAAGGAAAATTATTACTTAAAAAAAGATTTAAAAATAATATCACCCAATTAATTGATGCATTTGGACTCAGGAAACGATAAATTATGTTTGCTAACGCTTTCCTTTAAACTGTGTATGTCCACCTTACTTATCCAACTGACATTTAAAGACAGGAAACGCATATTGTCTATATGTTATTCTTTCTCTCAAACAGTTTCGTCGTTATTTGATGTCACATTTTAGGATTTAAATGGTGGATTCGTAAGATAATAGATTTTCATTATATATTATTTATGTACTTGTTTTTAGTAATGTTATTATCTTACCTGAGTTAGATTTGACACCTATAACTGCTACTACAATAGTTACAATAGAACCAAACAGAGTAGGTAGCAGAATATTTAGATCTAAAATGGAAAAGATAAAAACTTATGCTCTACACTACACCATATATATAACCTATCAGCAAATTATTCCTTAAACAGTCGAGGCAAATAGGAAATACCATAATATTATGAAATTTCATAATTTAATTGAAATATAGGATCAAAGTGGAGTTGTCTCTCTTAGACGCTTCTTGTCAAAACTGACATGGGAGATAACAACGTTTGTCTTAAACGAAGTTGAAAGGAAGACAACTCATTATTATAATAAGTTATATATATAAAATAGAAAGTTGTATAACAAACTCCCATTTTCCTATGCTGTTTACGTTTCTTCATTTTCTAATTAGCTCATGCTTTTTTTTTTTTAAATATGTAGATTATTATCTTTACAGTATATTTGAAATAGGTTTTTTCGTCGTCCTGCCAAGTGTTACATAATATAATTACATGATACCAAGAAATATTATGTTTCTATTTAGTTTGTAGCTTGTCTTGAACAATTAAATCCTCACCCTTGATATTTGCCACTGGATATTAAGTAATAAATATCCACCAATCACTGAAACAATTTGTCTCCAAATATCTTAGTGACTTAAGGAAGAATACATAGAAGCCGAATGCCTAAGTCGAACTTTAAAATTGAATATTAAACAGGAAATAAATTAATAACCGATGTTCAATTAATAATAGTTATTTCATGTCGGAAAAAATCGAGAAATTTACATGTAGGAATTTATGGATCTGGGTTGGAATTACGAGTATTATAACACACATTGAGTATATAAATCAGACTTGACTAAAGATTATTTAAAGTTGGATGTTATTGACAAGAAAGAATCATTTTGTTTGATACTAGTTTATCAGTCTACGACATAGCAATAATGCACGTGGAGGTCAATTGCGAGTTTATATTCAATTTATAAATTCTGTAAACAAATAATAGACGGCAAATAATGCAAATTCACAGAAACATGTTTCTAAAAACACTGTAAAATCGGTTATAAATCTAACAACGGGAGATTAACAATCAATTTCTTTACAAAAACTGATAACTGCAGTATGACAATAATTATTACGTCCTGTCAATAGCCTGTGTAAAAATCGGCATTAGAATTCTATGCGATGAGGCGGATATTTCATGCTTCACAGATGAAATTTGTAGAATTATGGGTGCCAGTCAAAATTGCAACACAAAGTCTTTATACATTTCATTTTTTTTTTATGGCATAGAGATATAAACACATTTTGTAAATAACCTATTGTTATTTGGGAAAATCTTTACTCAGCATAAATTGATCGGAGAAAATTTGTTCACTACATTCCAGTTAAATTGGAAACTATTTGTACATTTAAAAGCTTATTATGTGCATATTTCTACATACATTTGTCAGATATTTCTATAAGAAAAAAATCATAAAATGATTTTATACTTTTTCTTAAGTTAATACAGGATAAAACTTAAAAGTATTGACTAAAATCAGTTATATCAGTTGAAACCAAAGAATAAGGAATGGTGTCTCAGTCTTCAGGGCAAACCTACGTCATGATATCACGTATTGATGACTTCTGGTCAGGCAAAATACATTATTTTTATCAAATTGACATTTCAAGCTACTTACAATAACAGAACTACTCATGATTTATCATAATAAATCAGAAAAAAATCTAAGAAAATCAGTAATAATAAATAATAATAAAATTCTTTATTTAACGAAGGTAACACATTTGATAATGACATGTTAATCTTCCATGAGGCCTTCAAAAACTATTAATACAAATAGAAAAGAGAAAAATAAAATAAAAATACATACAAAATAAAATACATAATACAGTTAAATATAGCAGCTTAAATATTTAATAAGTACATATGCATTCAATAGAAGAAGAAAAATACATCAGTTTCGTGCATCTTTATTCTGTTCAGTTAGAAAATAGTTTGAACAGTTGGTCTTAAATGTATCTAAATTATCTATTTCTTTATGATAAATATTATTTGGTAAATTATTCCAGGTAATAAGACCAGAATATTTAAATGTTCTTTTTAAAAAATCATAATTAGGTCTTGGTACATGAAGAAGTCCTGATGTTGTCGACCTAAGACAATAATTATAAATATCAGCACAAGCAGTAAATTTAATAAATAGATAATCAGGTGCTAGACCATTCATACATTTAAACATTAACACAGCTTAAAAATAGTGTATCCTCGTAAATAAAGTCATCCATGCATGTTTTTTAAACATTAATGTTGATTGAAAATCAAAAGAAACAGATAAAACTAATCTTGCAGCACGTTTTTGGAGCTTATGTATCCTCTCCAGATTTCTGTTTGTGGTAAGACCCCATACTGTACAACAGTAGTCAATAATGGGTAATAAATAGCTGTTGTAAAAAAAAATAAGACCCTTTAATGGTGAATAACGTTTCAACCTTTTTTAGTACTGCCATTAGAGTGGAAATGAGGTGATGGGATGTCTTTTTCTGTCGATTACAGGTAGAGAATGGCATCATTTGTATCAAATACTTTGATAACGGGTTTGATAAATTAAAATGATTTTCATATTTTGATTTCATTCATTTTAATTTTAGTTAGAGAATTTATCTGGCTCAGTCATTTCAGATAAAATCAAAACCAATTTGAAAAAAAGAATTCCAAGGAGAAGACAAAAAACGTCGACTGCGTATACACAAGGGATCCGTATCTAATACGTTCTTCATATGCATATTTATGGTTCGACAACACAATGGAGTAAACACTTGTACAGAAATAGCCATATGATATTAATCATATTATAATTCAAAATGTAAACATAGATAATTAGGAATGCGATTTTCTTTGGTTCACATCTGTGTTTGTTGATAATGTTATCGGTAGGCACCTGCTTGGAGTGATGTACTTTCTGATAATTTAACAAAATGTATACAAAACCAGTGACACATGCTAACTGCGGGTCTATAGTAGTATATAAATAAACTGATCATAATATACTATATTGGAATAGGAACAGACTTAAAAGAAATAAAATTTGAAGATATACATGAACTGCTTAACATGCTTCATATGGGTTTTATTTGAAATCTAAATACCGTGCAAATGACAATTTGTCTACATAAAATGTTCATACGTGTTTATGTATATACAGTCCGCCAAAAGTTAAGCACCACCTACATTGTATTTTTATTTCATCGAAATGTTTTTCATTTTAAAAAATCAATTATTCATCGAAAAAGAGAAACATGCATGTGGCAGTTTTTCTAATATATACCAAAAACAAACCATCAACTTAAGATTGTTTATTTATGTAGGTTTTATGTAGATATAGGAAGATGTGGTATGAGTGCTAATGAGACAACTCTACATCATAATAACAATTTATAAAAGTAAAATATTATAGGTCAATGTACGGCTTTCAACACGGAGCCTTGGCTCACACCGAACAACAAGCATGTAAATTTGGCGTTCATAGAAAAAGTATAAATTAATCAAATCAGAAACGGAATTAAAGTTCCACTGGGATTTTATTTTTTTACAACAATTAATCACCTCATATAGTTATTTTTTTACAAATAATCTTTGGTATGTTAGGCAAATTTCATGTTAATATTTGAGTAATTAGGATGTGTAATCACCCCTCTTCCGGTACAGTTCCATAACACGGCGTATCATACCCTGTACAAGCCGTATACTCTTGCTATGGGCTCTCGAAGTCTTTTACGGTGTCGTTATTTACTTGTAGCAGGTTCCTATATAGCTTCTTTATGTAGGAACTTTGAAAGGCAATTTACAATGTATTTATTCCGGAGGATATGAGTATTTGGACCATACGCGTATACTGCTGTTCGGTGTGAGACAAGGCTTCGTGTTGAAGGCCGTACTTTGACCTATAATTAATAATATTTTATACTTTGTTACTTGCATGAAGTATTATCTTATTGCCGCTCATACCACATATCTTCTTATTTATATCTTTAAAATTTTGCGAGAATTATTCGTTTACCCAGCAATATACTGCAATTTTCTTTATTTAAGTTCGGTAATTCAATTTGAGATTCCAAATGTATTTATCCATAAAATGTTTTCATTGTGTTGTCGTCCCAAAACGTGTGAAATATTTGCCAATGGACGTTAGACAATCATCGTACAATAAGCTTAATATGTCTGTCAACATATATATTTTACAAGAAAGTACTTTTTCATACAACATTAAACTTTAGTGGAAAGTATTTTGTAATAACAATTCAAAAAGAGCTCAACACATATCATATTAGTTAGATTATGGCAAACATTTACCAAAAGATGAAAAGTTATGTCTCGATTATTGGGGTTAAGTCAATTTTTGCTTACTGGATATATAGTTGGGATAAGATTGCATCCCATTGCTACATCATATTACTAAAAAAGAACTACCCATTCTAGCGTTTGTGTGTCCATTCATTTATATTTTGTAAGAAGAGTTTCTCAACCTATGTATAAATGTCTGTTATAGATGTTCACTTGACTACTAGCCAATGCGTTTGCCAGTTTCCTTTATTTGAGCAGGGATTCCGTTCACCCTTTACTCTTGCTATGGGATCACGAAATCTTGTACGGTGTCCGGACCATATGTGTAGTAGGACCATACGCGTATATGGTCATCTGCTGTTGTCTGCTCTTTGGACGGCTTGTTTAATTGTCACTCTGACATATTCCCCATTTCAATTCTCAATTTTAACAAGACCATATGCTTTTTTTGCAGGCACACACAGCACAAATCATTGTCTAACATATTGTCAGACTGTTATTGTATCTGTTATCTTTTATTTGCTTAGTCACTAAAAAAAATCGCCTTTATACTGCCGATTTTCGCCCTTAAATGACATCTCGTGCAGGAGGGGCATGTTTTTTTTTTTTTTCTTAGTTTTTCAATTGTTATTTCTACTTTTTTTCTTGAAACTGATGTATTCTTGCTCCTATTAATATTAACTTACTGTCATTGTAAGATGGGAATATATGGGGTAATGAAAAAATGATCAAATGAGCT